GGGGGGGGGGGGGGGGGGGGGCGGACGGACACAAAAATAAAGTGGCCTGGAATTCCCATAACTGTCAGCAGTCTGGTATTGCTGAGCACAGCTCACAAAACAGGAAATGGTAAGGTAAGATTGGGAAGATAACCTAGAGCCAGACCTTGGAGGCCTTCCATCCATCAAGGATTTGACCATGTAAGCCCGTGGTTCCAAACCTGACTGTACATCAAAATCATGCAGATAAGCATAGAAAGTCGAGTTTCCACAGCCAGCTCAGCATAAACCTATAAAGTCAGTCTGTGAGCAACACTGACAGAAAACCTTGGTAAAGTTTTTAAGGAGAAAGACACTGTAATTCACATATTGAAAAATATCACTGTACTGGCAGTGCAGGATAAACAATAATGTAGAATGGGACTATACACAGACCAATCAGTTAAAAGGCAGGCAACTGAAACAGCACAGGCCAGGGAAAACGATTTAGAACTAGTAAGTGAAAGAAATGACAGTGAACTATTCTTCACTTGACAGTGGCTATGAGAGAGAAGAGAAACAGGGCAAAAGTAAAGGAAAATATAAAAAGTTTTCTTTTTCTTTTAAGATAGAACAATATAACTACATTTTAAGGCTATCTGAGAAGGAAAGAAGAGAAAGAATAAAATAGAGTTGAAGACATTCACCTTATGAAAGGAAAAAAGGAAATTTCTTACTCTGTAATGGGAAAAAATATATAAGCCCATTGTCCTTAAGAAAAATTAAAAGAAATGCAAATTTCCCCTTTAGAGACTTTAGCCTCCACAATTAAATTAATTCCACAATTACCAAGCTAAAAGTTCCACATCAAATTGCATTGTTTTGTTGTATAACTATGGAAACGATAAAAGCTCCTCACATTAGACTACTTATTGCATATATGTCAATTACTTTTGGAGTTTATGAACATAATTTTGGATAACTGCAAAACTTCATGAAATAAGTGCTAGTGTGGGAATTTGACAATAGGGCGGGGGGGGCGGGGCTAAAAGAATCAAAAGCGGTCTACTGTCTAGAGCAGCGGTTCTCAACCTGTGGGTCGCGACCCCTTTGGGGGTCAAATGACCCTTTCACAGGGGTCACCTAAGACCATTGGAAAACACATATATAATTACATATCGTTTTTGTGATTAATCACTATGCTTTAATTATGTTCAATTGTAACAATGAAAATACATCCTGCATATCAGATATTTACATTATGATTCATAATAGTAGCAAAATTATAGTAATGAAGTAGCAACGAAAATAATTTTATGGTTGGGGGTCACCACAACATGAGGAACTGTGTTAAAGGGTCGAGGCATTAGGAAGGTTGAGAACCACTGGTCTAGAGCCTTTGATTTGGAAGCTGTTACCCGCTTATATTCGTCTGCTCAGGCTCCCTACAAAATACCATGGAGTGGGTGGCTTAAGCTACAGAAATTTATTTTCTCACAGTTCTGGAGACTGAAAGTCCAGGATCAAGGTCTGGCCGGGTAGGTTTCTTGTGAAAGCTATCTTCCTGGCTTGCAGAGAGCCACCTTCTCACTGTGTCCTCATGCAGCACTCTGGTGTCTCTTCTCCTAAGGCAGGGATGGCGAACCTATGACACGCGGTCAGAGGTGACACGCGAACTCATTTTTTTGGTTGATTTTTCTTTGTTAAATGGCATTTAAATATATAAAATAAATATCAAAAATATAAGTCTTTGTTTTACTATGGTTGCAAATATCAAAAAATTTCTGTATGTGACACGGCACCAGACTTAAGTTAGGGTTTTTCAAAATGCTGACACGCCGAGCTCAAAAGGTTCGCCATCACTGTCCTAAGGACACTCTCTTCTGGGTCAGAGCATCAGCCGTATCACCTCCGTAACCTTATTACTTCCATAGAGGTTCCAGCCACAGGAACCTCATCAGGCTTCAACATACATTCTAAGGCAGTGGTTCTCAACCGTCCTGATGCCGCGACCCTCTAATACAGTTCCTCATGTTGTGGTGACCCCCAACCATAAAATTATTTTCGTTGCTACTTCATAACTGTAATTTTGCTACTGTTATGAATCGTCATGTAAACATCTGATAGGCAGGATGTATTTTCATTGTTACAAATTGAACATAATTAAAGCATAGTGATTAATCACAAAAACAGTATATAATTATATATGTGTTTTCCAATGGTCTTAGGCGACCCCTGTGAAAGGGTCGTTCGACCCCCAAAGGGGTCGCGACCCACAGGTTGAGAACGGCTGTTCTAAGGGGGCACAGATATTCAGTCCTTAAAATGCTCAATAAAATTTTGTAGTTAAGTGACCAATGTGGTCCTCTCCTTTTTGAAACAACGCACTTTGTAAGAGTTGCTTCTGACAGTTTTCTTTAAACACAACACACTTTTTTTTGTTTTGTTTTCATTCTATACTCTGAAACTAGAAAAAAAGGATGAAGATTGATGTATCTAAAAGACTGATGTAAAAAATAAAAGATCAATGAAGGACTGGGCAGAAAAGAGAGGTAAAAAAGGCACAGTGTTAACCTAGGAAACGGACTTGATCTTATGCCTTTACTCCAGCATCTATAGGGCCTTGCATACAGAAAGCTCTCAGTAAGCAGGTGTTTGATGAATGAAGGAAGAGAAAGGATGGAAGAGAAGCATGGAAGGAAAAAGAAGAGAAATAAGAGGAAAGAGAGCAGAATATGCAAAAAAAAAGCAACTCCATTTCTGTTGTTGTTAAATGTTGCCGTGGATACCATAAATCCAAGCAAGCAAAATTAAGTCCGCTACTTACCGCTTTCACCATATCCAGCCTCTCATTTGTAATCTGCTCTGTATATTTTCGATATGCTGCATTTTTAGGGATTTGCTCAAGAACATCAAGAATCTTTGTGTACAATATTCTTAACCTCTGAAAAGACAAATCATACAAATGTCTGTTTTAAAATACCACCAGAAATTAAAATGGGACACTTAAAAAAGTTTCACAGCTTAAAGAAAAAAAAAAAAGACAACTGTTTTTTTAAAAACCACTTGACTTTGGCTGCAATTTATGTCTATGCCCTATCTATCATATATATATATGATTTTTATTTATTTTTTCTATTCTTTTTTAAATTTTATTTTCTTGTTTAAAGTATTACAAATAGTAATACATATATCTCCTTTTTTTCCCCATTGATCTTCCCCCAGCCTCCCCGGCACATATCCTTACCCCACCCCCCAGTGTCTGGTGTTCATTGGTTATGCTTATATGCATGCATATAAGTCCTTCGATTGATCTCTTACCCCCCACACACACTCCCCAGCCTTCCTGCTGTAATTTGACAGTTGG